ATAATAGATCTGCGCTCGCTAGCTCTCGCTAGGCCCAACCACAGGCCCAACATTCCAATCCATCAGCTCACAGGCATCAGTGGTGTAGTGGTAGAATACATCGTTGCTATCGATATGACCCGGGTTCGATTCCCCTACACTCCCCAAGCTGTCATTGTGCCTGGCAATAGCTAGTTAGCTTTGTCCCGCTCCCAGCTATGGTCCTGGAGGTGGACCAGGCTATGGAAAGCATAGCCTATTAGGCACTAATAAGCACTAATAGTCTCCAGGACCATAGCTGAGAGGTGGGACTGAGCCTGGGAGAGGAGGGGGAGAGGAGCAGGGAGAGGAGCGGGGAGAGGAGCGGGGAGAGGAGCGGGGACAGGAGCGGGGACAGGAGCGGGGAGAGGAGCGGGGAGAGGAGCCGGAGAGGAAGGGGACAGGAGGCGGAGAGGAGGGCGAGAGGAGGGGGAGAGGAGGGGGCCAGCTCGTACCCAACACTCCTATCCACCAGCCCCCTAGACTCCCTGCCAGCTCAGTCCCACCTCTCAGCTATGGTTCTGGAGGCTAGTTATGCTTATTAGTACCTAATAGGCCATCCTCCCACTCCCAGCTCAGTACCCAACACTCCTATCCACCAGCCCCCCAGACTACCCCCCAGGCTCAGTCCCACCTCTCAGCTATGGTCCTGGAGACTATTAGTGCTTATTAGTGCCTAATAGGCTATGCTTTCCATAGCCTGGTCCACCTCCAGGACCATAGCTGGGAGTGGGACAAAGCTAAGTAGCTATTGCCAGGCACAATGACAGCTTGGGGAGTGTAGGGGAATCGAACCCGGGTCACATCGATAGCAACGATGTATTCTACCACTAGACCACTGATGCCTGTGAGCTGGTGGATCTATTATCTTGGAGAGTACTAGTGCTTATTAGTGCCTAATAGGCTATTTGTTATAGCCTGGTCCAACCACCTAACCTTCCCCCCACTCCCACCTCAGTCCCCAGACTACCCCCCAGGCTCAGTCCCACCTCTCGGCTATGGTCCTGGAGGCTATTAACCAGCCCCCCAGACTAACCCCCGGGCTCAGCCCCACCTCTCAGCTATGGTCCTGGAGACTATTAGTGCTTATTAGTGCCTAATAGGCTATGCTTTCCATAGCCTGGTCCACCTCCGGGACCATAGCTGGGAGCGGGACAAAGCTAACTAGCTATTGCCAGGCACAATCACAGCTGGAGTTTAGGGGAATCGAACCCGGGTCACATCGATAGCAACGATGTATTCTACCACTAGACCATTGATGCCTGTGGGCTAATGGATTTGAATGTTGGGGTTGTGGTTGGGCCTAGCGAGAGCTAGGGAGCGCAGATCTATTATCTTGGAGCCTATTAGTGCTTATTAGTGCCTAATAGGCTATGCCTTCCATAGCTTGGTCCACCCTCTCCTCCCAACCATCCCGCCAGTACCCAACACTCCAATCCACCAAAGTCCCCAAGCTGTGCCTGGCAATAGCCAGCCAGCTCAGTCACAACTTATCAGTACCTTGTAATGCTTATTAGTTCTTATTAGTTCCTATTCTGTCCCATGGAATGTGTGTGCATCTAATCTTTTGTTCATTACCCTGAAAGCCTTAAAAGTTCCTATTATGTGTTATTAGTCATTTTGCCCGTTTTTCGCCTAATTCGGATCTCAGATCTCAGGCCATGGCAACATGGTAAGACACAAGGGAGAAGACAACAGGGGAAGACACAACAGGAAAACAAATAGGGGAGAATCACCAGTGAGCTGAGGTTTCGGCGACACAATAAGGAGCAGGAAATGGGGAGACACACCGGAGAAAATCAAAGGGGAAAATGATGCAAAATGAGAAATGTGACTTTTAAAGTTTGTAAAGCAGAAAAACTTGCTTTTGTAAGATATGGAAATTTATAATCTAACAAATTTGTTTAAACCTGATTTTGGGCACAATTAATTCATGGATAGAAATAAGTTTTTTGAACATATTGTGACATTTTTTTAAAATAAAAAAATTATTCCAATACATTCAAAATGAACCAGTGAATGTTTTAAGACTGATTGTGGACATAATTTTTTGCATAGAAATTAGTTTAAATTCAAAGCAACATTAGTGTTACAATATAAATTTCCCTATCTTACGAAAGCAAGTTTTTCTGCTTTACAAACCATAAAAGTGTGCATAATTTTCCTTTTGCTGTTCTCCTGTTCTGTTTTCGAAGAATCTCAAACGCCAGGCCTTAGCAACCACAGCCAAAACGGGCAAAATGACTAATAACACATAATAGGAACTTTTAAGGCTTTCAGGGTAATGAACAAAAGATTAGATGCACACACATTCCATGGGACAGAATAGGAACTAATAAGAACTAATAAGCATTACAAGGTACTGATAAGTTGTGACTGAGCTGGCTGGCTATTGCCAGGCACAGCTTGGGGACTTTGGTGGATTGGAGTGTTGGGTACTGGCGGGATGGTTGGGAGGAGAGGGTGGACCAAGCTATGGAAGGCATAGCCTATTAGGCACTAATAAGCACTAATAGGCTCCAGGAACATAGCTGAGAGGTGGGACTGAGCCCGGGGGGTAGTCTGGGGGGCTGGTGGACTGAAGTGTTGGGCACTGAGGTGGGAGTGGGGGGAAGGTTAGGGGGTTGGACCAGGCTATAACAAATAGCCTATTAGGCACTAATAAGCACTAGTACTCTCCAAGAGAATAGATATGCTGTGCTGTCCTGGAGTCATTTGTTCCCACATTTGTGGACACAAATTACACCGAAATTCAGGGTAGCCAACTATCATTTTGTGAAGTAACATAAAAAGCGACATTCTGTATTGTGGTGTTTGTGAATTTGGAAACTTGCAAACTCAACCTTCAGTTCGCCCCCAAATCGCATTGAATGCTGTAAATTTCCAAATTCCACAGAATCAAGATCCAATCTATACAATGTTTTGACTGGTTGAAGTGAATTTAACATTGAGCTTACTCCAATATTGTATTTATGTACCTATTAGGTGTTATTAGGTTGTGGTTTTGTGGAACTGAAAATCGCTACGCCAAGTCTTTTGGCGAACGCGGCTTTGGCTGTGCTCGATCTGAAATCATTCGTTTCCACATTTGTGGACGTCAATTGCACTGAAATTCAGTGTAGCCAACTATCATTTTGTGAATCAATATCATAGTGTTTGGGAATTTGGACTTAGAACCGAGAAATTAAAATTGGCAGTTCAACCTTTAGTTGGCCTTCATATCGCATTGAATGCTGTAAATTTCCAAATTCCACAAAACACAATGTTCTGACTGGTAAGTAACTTTAACATTGAGGTTACTTCAATATTATATATATATGTACCTATTAGGTGTTATTAGGTTGTGGTTTTGTGGAATTGAAAATCACTACGCCAAGTCTTTTGGCGAACGCGGCTCTGATTCTGCTTGATCTCAAATCATTCGTTTCCACATTGGTGAACACAAATTACACTAAAATTCAGTATAGCCAAGTATCACTTGTGAAGCAACATAAAAAGAAGCACTGTGTGTCGTAGTGTCTGTGAATTTGGAAACTTGGAAACAAAACGCCACAAGCAATTAAAATTGATGGTTCAACCATCAGCTGGCCCTCCTATCGCATTGAATGCTGTAAATTTCCAAATTCCACAGAATCAAGATCCAATCTATACAATGTTCTGACTGCTTGAAATGACTTTAACATTGTGGTTACTCAACTATTGCATATGTGTACCTATTAGGTGTTATTAGGTTGTGATTCTGTGGCAATGAAAATCACAGTGCCAAGTTTTTTGGCGAAAGCGGCTCTGATTCAGCACGGTTTTGATCTCCGTGTCTCGAGGATGGCAGGCGATGATTTAATCTCTGGAATCCAAGACCTCCTTGTTTGTCGTTTTTGCACACCCAAAAAACATAAGTTGCTTGGTGGGTCTGAACGACATATGGGCAAACATAATGAAACAAATTTAAACAATGTATTGACCAAACCAAGATTAGTACAGATAATGATACTATTAACTGAGAATCTGAATATGATACAAAAAAAATATGTTTTCAAAAAGATATATTGTTTTCAATCAGATATTTGGATGTCCAAGATTCATCTCCCTTCAGGGAATCGATAAAGTCGTGAATCTGGAAAATATGCGGACGCTCTTCATGTTGCCCTGGATGCATCACATTCCATCTCGCATAGGCCCAATGTAAGCATGCCACCAAAGCCGTTGGTTCATCCGGGTTCGAATTTGTGGGCCATTTTCTGCTCATAGACTGTTGACCAATACGATCACCTGAATTCATTTTCAGAGTTTTAAAACAGTGTGGTTAATAAGCCCTAATAAGTGTTAATTGCATTTTGGGATACAAATAAAAATCATAAATTTATATCCAAAACACTTGTAGGATATCGAATTTGATACCCGTACGTCTTTGGATTCCGGAGAATCCAGACTTCCTTGTGAGATGCTCCTTTATTTGGCAGTAGGGTTTTCAGCGTCGGCGGTGTTGTTGCGACACGAGCTTTTTTGACCTGAGGTTCATCAGCTTTTGCAGCCTCAGGTGCTGGTTTTTTCCTGTCTTTGAAACATTGCTCCTCCTCACCAACTTCTGGATCATCCTTTCCTTGTGCCAGGAGAGGTTGTGCTTTATCTTTTGCCAGCTTCTGATCTTCCTGAAAGGCAAACTCTGAGGAACCAGACTCTATCTGGTCATCATATGGAGAAAAAAAAATAACAGCTAAAATAAGCTTTGGTGGTATCCCCAACCGCTGCAACAGTTTAGCGTTACAATTCTTCCTGAAGCGTGCAGCGAAGCCAAGCGCTAGAACCGCTAGATACCTGGAACCTTCAGCCTACCTCCTAAGTCTAATTTAAGAATAATTTGTATCTTATTAGTGCCTAATTGAGTTTTTTATGTATAGAATTGCAACGCCCCATGAGCTTGCGCTTTTGGGGAAAAATACAGAGCTTGAGATATTTATACCAAAAAAACAGCAAAAATCTTACTAATTTGCGCCTATTAAGGCCGCCCAAGTATCATTGATCTCTGCAGATTCTCTCTTGTCTCCAGTGTTTGGTTCCTGCTTTCTTTTAACTTTGACTTTCCCTTTTGAGTGAAATTCTACCTCAATGTCTTCCTTTTCCAATGCATCTCTCACTCTTGCTTTGACCTCTTCAGCACCTTCCTGTCGGTACAATTCTGCCAATTCGTCTTTGGCGAGCTGCGACATTTTGTCAAATGCTTGTGCATTTTCAGGATCAAGCATCGAAATCATACCAAGGACTGTGGACATCTCATCCATGTCTTCATCTGGTTTTTTCTTTTTAGGTTTGGTAGGAGGGGCCAGTCCCCTTACCAACCCTTCCTGGGCTTCCTCTGTTTCACCACCTTCAAACAGAAATCTAACCAGCGCGCGGGCATGATCTTCTTTGATGACTGAACCTCTGCTTCCAGAACCATTGGGGAACTTTGGCACATCCAGCTTGAGACTTGCTGTGATCGTCTTTAGGTTTTCTGCCAACAAGAAAACTTTTGCTCTGATCGCTGCCTTGAGCAGCCCATACTCCTCATCTCTATCCACATGGATAAGTTCCATTGCTGTCCCAGCTCCCAAAGCGATATTCATCATGGCTGGGAGCTTCCGTTCAACAGAAACGTGTATCCAAGGACTCTTGGAATCAAAGTGATGGTTCGTCATGGGAATGGCTTCAACCGGCTTCAAGATCAGATACTCCTAACATGCTCAAATGATAAAGACGAAAAGCTTATTAGCACTTATTAGGGCTATCAAGGCTTTGAGCTAATATTAGGTGTTTTTTCCCAAACCGAGCCTTCCCACCAGATCTGACTTTCTCCAACTGCAGACCAAAAGAGCACCATGTTCGAAAACCAAGTGCCATGATGAATGCATTTGTCAGCTTGTTGTAGTATACTTCGCCAAGAACAAGCAATGCACCTGATGCTGGACAGAATGTACTGGCTTGGACAGCTATTTGATGCTATTAATGTAGCTATAACTCAGGAACAAAACAAGCAGGGAAAACTTCAAGCAAATAGGAAAATGCAGTCAGACAGGCCTGCCCAATGCATTCGAATCTCATTCCAGAGATTGTTCTCCTCTTGCAGAATATATGCCATGGCTGCAATAGCTCGCTCATCGCTCAATGCACCTGCTTTTCTCCAATTTTTGTCCATACTGTTGACCTCCAAACCCGGAACATCATCAGGCATGTCCGATGACTGAATACTCAAAAATCTGCCTGCAGTCGATCTAAATGATTTGCTGCTTGCAGAGGTCATAATGTGCCAGTCATCTTCATCTGGCAGCAACTGCGACATACCAGATGCAGCAGTGTACGGACTCAAAATACAGTATGCGTACTTGCTCCAATCACTCATCACACTGTTTCGAGATGTAGTCTGCACTTTGTAATGCAACCAGCTGAAAGTGCTTTCGCAAATCTCTTTTGTAGTAGACGGCCCCAAATACAATTTGTGGAGCAATTGCAACAATGGTTGGTCCAGTCCCTGCACAACAAAGGCCATGATTTCTCGTGGAAGCTGATGAAAATTCCACCCAACATCTTGCAAGCATTTTCCGAGATACAGATTGCCAACCTTGTCATTCACGTAGATTTGTTCTGCCTTCAGGGAACAATATTTCACTAGTTCCTCACTAATAATAAGGCCTAATAATGCTGTTAGACTGACTTTTTTTGTTGTTCAAAGAAAATCAAAATACAGGATTGTGCCAAGAGGCTTTGAGCAATGTTTTCACTGCTGCTTTCAGTCGTTCCAATGCCCGTTGTTTTTCTCTGCCATCAGGTAGAAAATAGGCCGCTGCTGCATGTGGAAGCCGGTAGCTATGTAGCAAGTTGGCCCAAAGTATCGCTGCCAAAAGATGTACGCCGAAGTCCCAAGCACAATTAAGGATTTGCTGCTCAAAAGTCATCCAAGGAGGAACTTCCTCCAAAGGAGTTGCAGATGGCAACGTCAGGCGTAAATGTGTTACAAACCCCACACTTTGTAGGATGCTAGCAATGCCCACAATCATCTGAAACCAAGATCCTGCAGCCCTTTGTGCTGCCCACAGAAGCGCTTCTTGTGGTCCAGAGGACATGGTGTCTTGGCTTGTGGCATATTCTGTTTCCAAAGGCACTGTGAGATCGCATAGAATCACTGCAAAAGCGTAGTTCCGTTCATCATGCAAAAAGCTGCTGATCATCTTTGTTGGACCCTTCCCAGAAAAATACTTGAACAACTGAGCCTTTGAAGCGTAGGGATCTTCATGCACAAAATTTGGCTCATCTTCTTGTTGTGGTTGTGGCATAGCATCAGCATCAGTGCTGTGTTCCTGCATGACCGTCTTTTAAAAATGAACATAGTATATATATAATTATTGATGGTGCTTATTAGCTCTTAATAATCACATAAAATAAAAGAGACAAGTTGACCAATCAGATCCTGAACGAAATCCAGCATTGAATCAACAGCAATTGTCTGTATGGTCCAGTCGGCCAGAAGCGCTCGGAATGCCTTTTGTGCACCGAACCAGCTTTTGTTTTTTACCTGATTTGCGAAATCAATCACATAAGCGAAAAAAACTTGCTGGTACATTCAAGAGTTACCTGGCTAAAGTGAATGCCAAGTTGCAAAATGTCCTCTATTTTTGATGATCTTGGCTTCCATCCAAGTTTCAATACTAGCGTAGACCATATCCGGGTGGAAGTCAATGCCACGGTCTCGAGAGATACGTTCAGATACAGATGCAAAGAACTCATCATCTTGCTGCTGAAGCCATGATTTCACTGACTCCATCTTCATGTGCAACTTGTCTCCGCTCAGAAAAGCCCCATGATTGAAGTTGCCTTGTCAAGATGGAAAAAAAAACACATTGAATAAACTTACATAAATTTGGCTTTTACATTGTTGCTAAACAAAAATCAATGTTAATCTTGGCAAGTGTGCAGATCAGGGTCAGCCGTAGGAGCCCCATATTGAGATTTGCACGTGAAACTGCTTTCTTGAAGCAGTTCCACTTTGAATGGGCATCCTCTTGGTCTGCAAATCCTCTTGCATGGAGCACACCAAAAGCGTACTCAAAGGCTTTGTTTTGTACTGTTTCGCCATCAGTCACCTGAGTCAGGGCCACTAACATTAGGCAATGCAGAAAAGTCTGCTGCATATGTAACAAAACAAAATGTATATGACTGCATATACAAAAAATATATACATAATATCAATATACACAGACAAATCTAGGCGAAACCCCCTAATCAGCACAAATAGCTCTTAATAGTAATGATACTTGCAAATCAGTCACGAGTTTCAGGATTGGAAGATGCTCAACTTTCGGAACCTTCACCTTCTCAAGATCATCCCCAAATTTCAATCTCTCCTCAGGTGGTGGGATGAAGAAAAGCCAGTTTTTGCCTCCGAAGGATTCGAAGAGATGGTTCAGGAATTTCAGGATCACATAATAGGCTTTGCACTCAGAGGCTTGCAGTAGTGGCCTTTGTGTTGCTCTTGAAACAGTCTAATAGTGCCTAATAGTGTTGAACAAACAAAACTATTTTTGAAAATGATTTACTGACAAACGTCGAGAGGCCTCATCACAGAGGCACCGTTCAGAACTTCAGATATGTTTTTGGTCAAGGCCTTGGCTCGTCAACGAAGCAAAGGCTTAACAGTGTTTGCAAGTATATGCTTTCAGATGGTGCACATATGACAAGCTTCTTGTCACAATATGTGAAGAACTTTCTGCTCAGCACATTTTTTTCTCATGGTCGGTTTGACCCCCTGGTTGATACGATGGGTGAAACGCATGCTCTTACAACTGTCAGGCATTCTCGAAGGCTAATGAACATTCACGATGGTTCTGGCAGGTTCCATTTTGCACGCATCCTGCAGGAATGTGTTCACATCCACACACTAACTAACTATATAATCACTTGTTGAAAACAAAAACACAAAATTTGTTTTGTCAAAATCTGCTCCTTTGCGCCAGTTTTGCATCCGGTCCACCTCCACGCACTGTGAAAGCAGCTTCTCCACAGAGAAGCTGCGAGGCAAGGTTGCATTTTGATAACTTCTCCATGCACCCACGCTGGTAGACAAAGGCTTGCCACATGCCGTAGATGTTGTCTTTGGTTAATACAAGCAGGATTGGATTTGCACATCCCAGAAAGACGCATTTTCCATCACTAGGGCGGAGCAGAAACCATCTCTTCTTCTCTTTATGGAGGACAACACGCTCAGCGGGTGCAACATCTGACATTCGACCTTCTAATAGAGAATCTTGCTGACTAGGAAGAGCTCTCTCTTGCAGCTCCTTAGTGGGTAAAAGGTTGGCTTGCACCTGAAGGTGTTGTCAATCATACTACTAGCTTAATTGTTATTATTAACAGCTAATAATATTGTCTATTGTACATATGGGGAAAAGTCTTACAAGGGATTCCAACAACTGCATGCTGATTATACAATTTCCCTGATAAAAAATAAACACCCCATATCAAGCCAGGTATCCTGATTCTGGCGTTGGGCAGAGAGCTGGAGGTATCCAGAAGCCTGTGCGACATTGCGATGATCCGCTCCATCCAGAATCAGATTCTACTGTTATATTCCAGTCAAAGATAAACACCAAAGAAATACAGGCAAGCGACTCTGGAATGACTACGTGCTGATGCCGTATCTGCGCGATTGTCCTTGGTATATAGGTTCCATGGCTGATGGGGCCAAGCATTTTCAGAATAGACAGTACTCTTTCTGCTCATCTTGACATGACATTTTTACCGTTTACTAAATTTGAAAGGGAGATCTGTGAAACCCATTATGAGATATTATATCAGATCTCATTCACATTAGGAGATTGGTCAAACAGATTTGGTGTTTCTTGGCAATAAATATGGCTTATTAACATCTATTTGAGTAGTACAATGATGCAAAAAAACACAATGCAATCAAAGTAGCAAAAATTCTGCTGGATGCTGCACCTTCCTCTGGAGTCTGCTGACTTGTGCGATCACGACTGCGATCACGACTGCGCTCCTCACGTTTGCTCCGAGAATCCTCAGATAGTCAGCGTTGTTCAGTTGGATGTCAATTGAATTTCCATTACCATAACCTGTAGGTGATCTGTTTGGGCTTGGATGTGTTTAATTGGTGAGATTTGACCATTGGTGCTATAGAATTTTGAACTGCAGAATATATGTTCCTTATATCCAAGGTTTCAAAACCATCAAATTGCAAAACATATCAGAATCACAATGCCAGTCATTGCATTTACTGTGAAACTTATCAACTTGATTACCACTGTCTTTGCTGACTTACCAATTTGATTTGATAAAACCATTGTCCTCAAGATGCTCCTTTTTTCCCAGATCGAATGAGCACCTAAATTCGAAATGGCTGGTGAAATCAGATTTTTGTGAATACGATCAGTTAACTTCTTCTGCATCTTCAGCATGTGGCTGAACCATGTGCCTCATGCGGATCTCCAAGTGTTGTTTCCTTCGTACCAGAGACTGTGTGAAGGTCACCACATGCTGGCGTGTTGTGGTCAAACTTAGGTAGAGATCTGTGGCACTTGCTCCAACATCTTCCAAATGATCTGTAAATGTATCCAATGTGGATAAATAGGCTTCTGTCAGGAAAATTGAATTGGAGATCGCATTCAATTCATCAAGCAGTTGCTGGAACGACAGTTGATTTGCAGGTCGGGAAGCTCCACGCATGGAATCAATATGGAAAGTGGAAAAGAAAGAGGCAGTATCAAGCTTGAGCCAAACTTCACATGAGTTTTATGCAATGTAGCTGATTAGCAGCTATTTGGTTATTTCATGAGACTATATCTGCAATATTGCACTCACACAATTTACGTAAGTGTAGTCACTAGCCTACTACTCAGAGTGAGATCAGAGGTATGGGACACACAGGCGAGAAAGAAAAAGGTAAGGGATCAGGGAGACAGGTACAGTGCTTGAGACAGGTGAACAGGATAAAGGGAAAAAAATGATACAAATGGTTTGCGCACAGGGTCAAGGATGCACAAACAGGAGAGTTAGGAACTAATAAGCATTAATAAACATGTCAGACAAGCACGACACAGGAGAAACAGGAAGAGGGGGAGATGCTACAGGAAGAGGAAGGACGGGGTGAGCCAGAGCCAGGAGAGAAGAGAAATATTATGTTTTGAGAGCCAAATAAGCAAAAATAAGCACAAAGAAGCATGAAAGGCTCCAGGAGCTTGTACAAAAGCCAGGAGGGGGGCGAGAGGCTGTAGGAGCCCGCAAGCCAGGGACGGGGTGAGCAGGAGCCAGGGGAGAAGAAAAATATTATGTTTTTGAGAGCCAAATAAGCACAAATAAGCACAAATAAGCATGAGAGGCTCCAGGAGCTTGTATACAAGCCACAAGGGTGGGGCGAGAGGCTCTAGGAGCCCGCAAGCCAGGGACGGGGTGAGCAGGAGCCAGGGGAGAAGAGAAATATTATGTTTTTGAGAGCCAAATAAGCACAAATAAGCACAAAGTAGCACAAAGAAGCACAAATGAGCACAAATAAGCATGAGAGGCTCCAGGAGCTTGTATACAAGCCACGAGGGTGGGGCGAGAGGCTCTAGGAGCCCCCAAGCCAGGGACGGGGTGAGCACGAGCCAGGGGAGAAGAGAAATATTATGTTTTTGAGAGCCAAATAAGCACAAATAAGCACAAAGTAGCACAAAGAAGCACAAATAAGCACAAATAAGCATGAAAGGCTCCAGGAGCTTGTATAGAAGCCACGAGGGTGGGGCGAGAAGCTGTACGAGCCCACAAGCCAGGGACGGGGTGAGCAGGAGCCAGGGGAGAAGAAAACTATTATGTTTTTGAGAGCCAAATAAGCACAAATAAGCACAAAGTAGCACAAATAAGTACAAATAAGCATGAGAGGCTCCAGGAGCTTGTACAAAAGCCAGGAGGGGGGCGAGAGGCGCTAGGAGCCCCCAAGCCAGGGACGGGGTGAGCACGAGCCAGGGGAGAAGAGAAATATTATGTTTTTGAGAGCCAAATAAGCACAAATAAGCACAAAGTAGCACAAAGAAGCACAAATAAGCACAAATAAGCATGAAAGGCTCCAGGAGCTTGTATAGAAGCCACGAGGGTGGGGCGAGAAGCTGTACGAGCCCACAAGCCAGGGACGGGGTGAGCAGGAGCCAGGGGAGAAGAAAACTATTATGTTTTTGAGAGCCAAATAAGCACAAATAAGCACAAAGTAGCACAAATAAGTACAAATAAGCATGAGAGGCTCCAGGAGCTTGTACAAAAGCCAGGAGGGGGGCGAGAGGCGCTAGGAGCCCCCAAGCCAGGGACGGGGTGAGCACGAGCCAGGGGAGAAGAGAAATATTATGTTTTTGAGAGCCAAGTAAGCACAAATAACCACAAATAAGCACAAAGAAGCACAAATAAGCATGAGAGGCTCCAGGAGCTTGTATAGAAGCCACGAGGGTGGGGCGAGAGGCTCTAGGAGCCCGCAAGCCAGGGACGGGGTGAGCAGGAGCCAGGGGAGAAGAGACATATTATGTTTTTGAGAGCCAAATAAGCACAAATAAGCACAAAGTAGCACAAAGAAGCACAAATAAGCATGAGAGGCTCCAGGAGCTTGTATACAAGCCACGAGGGTGGGGCGAGAGGCTCTAGGAGCCCGCAAGCCAGGGACTGGCTCCTGCACAAAGTAGCACAAAGAAGCACAAATAAGTACAAATAAGCATGAGAGGCTCCAGGAGCTTGTACAAAAGCCAGGAGGGGGGCGAGAGGCGCTAGGAGCCCCCAAGCCAGGGACGGGGTGAGCACGAGCCAGGGGAGAAGAGAAATATTATGTTTTTGAGAGCCAAATAAGCACAAATAAGCACAAAGTAGCACAAAGAAGCACAAATAAGGATGAGAGGCCCCAGGAGCTTGTATAGAATCCAGGAGGGTAGGGTGCCTAGGGAAGGAGATAAGTTCAAGGCAAGGGACTGATGTGAGAATGAAAGGTACAGGGAAGGGAGAATAAATAAATAAAGGCACTAATAAGCATAAGAGGGATAGCTGTGAGAATGAAAACGGTACAAAGGAGCAGAGGGTGGAAAAGCAGTGAAAAATAATAATGAAGGAAAAAACAGAACGGGATTAGGGAACAAGTTAGGCAACATGGTGGGACCCGGGACCAAGTCGTCACATGAACAAAGTGAGTTGTAGAATAATGCACACTATTAACACTTATTAGCTACCTAATATATGATACAATTTTCATTAAACCAAGAGTCTCGTTCTGCATCATTACGGCGAGGATATTGCGGTCTGTCCTAAGCTCAAAGGTTGAATCCCATCAAGCATATTGAACTAACTGAATATATATACATATATATATGTATATATATATAGTATATATATAGTATATATATATATATTTATATGTATATGTGTTCTTGCAGCTAGTGAAATCATATGTGGGCACACAGATTAATGGGAAAATTGGAAAAATAGACTAGATATTTTGATCCCAATGAATGAACAATCAAGCAAATCGCTTTTCAATCCAAGGGGCTCGTGACCCAGACGATGCCACTGATCGATTTTCAAATCTGTCCTTGGCAGGTGTGCTTATGTATGTTGGGAAGTCTGAATGTGACCTAGGCGTTTATAGAATTTCAATATGATTACAGCAAAACTCACACTCATATTGTCACAGAAATCACTATTAAGCCTTATTACTAGGTATAAGTATGTCGTTGATTACATAGAAATTATGAAATCAATTATATTGTGGTGTTCTGCAACAGACTGTTGAATTTTGCGGACACCATTGTTATGCAAGTGGCATCTTTTGCTGAGCCATACCCATCTGATGCAGAACCGAGATCTGGTGCAGTGCCATGATGTTGTGACTGTTTGTCCTTGGCTCTTTCTGTGGAAAGTGGTGTTTCAGGAGTGCATACTGGGAATCAGAACGCAATCAAATCAGGCAAGGGTCACATGACGATAAGTGTGGAGTCAGACTTCTGTAAGAACTTGGCAGCTTATTTGAACCAGTTAAATTCAGCCTGGGAACACGGTGGGCTAGTGCCGGAGTTCGCTTCAGATAGGTGTCTGGCAAGGTCTTTTTCTTCAGGCCGGATCGTTCCGGACCCAAACATTCATACCCTGTCAAGTGATACAGCCTTGGTTCGAGTTTGCGAGGATCGTCTCAAAAAGATAAAAACATTTTTTACAAAATGAAATAGTACAATTTCAATGCACTTTCTGAAGCCACAGCAGAGTGACACGTCCGCATCGGGTCGCATAAGAGGTAGATTTTTGCCAGATTCCATCACAACATGCAGCACGCTGAGAATTTCATCTAAATCTTTTGGTTTCTGCACTTGATCCGAAACTTTAATGAAAGTTTCCAGCGATGTCGGGAAATTGCGTTGCAAGAGGCACGGGTCATGAGATATATTTTGAAGTAGTCTAGAGTACTATTAAGCACTATTAGGCCACATTAGCAAATACAATATCAGAAATCCAATGGTATCATTGAAACTTGGATCCTCCTGAACCATTGTTTTGCAGAGACACCCATGGAAACTATTTGCTGACATTTTTTCACCCATCTCAAGCAAAGGTAACTGCGCCACATGTGTGTAAGTGCAGCTTGGCTAATGTACCAGTACGAGTTGAGATGTTACACCTCAATAATCTACTTTTGGTATTTGCTCGTCCAAAAGCGCCTGTACATAGTATCTGTGAGCTTCCGCTGGTTGATCAATTCTTCTTCACTTAGCTGCCTTGTATGGCCAGGAGGAGTCATATGAGTCTTGACAGTTGAAACCTACTGCATATCTCAATGAACAAGAATATTTATTTGGTGAGCAAGTTGCGGAAATTGCAAGCTGTCTCCATCCCAATGCTCACATCTCTTGCGCTTGCGACTATTCTCGGGCACGTCGATGGGTTGCTCAGTCTTTTTGCTGGATGAAGGGTTCACCATCAGGAAGAAATAGTTTTCCAAGATCATTTGCGACGACATCAGTTTCCAGACAAATCGGACTAAATGGGAGCAACTTCGATTTAGTTTGAGAAAAAAATGGCTGGATTGGATCAGGTCAAATGGTTTTAGCTAGCCAATATTAAATGATGTACTGTTTGTTTTGTGAACGCCACACGTGCTGAATTGGGATATACTTGCAGTAAATTGGACTATTGAGTTCATGCAAGATCAACAACCATTGTAACCTTCCCAGATTCCAGCAGAGCTGCAAAAATTCATGCAAACCCAGGCTTTCTCCATGAATCTGATGTTTTTCGCGCTTGGCTGTGAATGTTCCTCCCAAGAATCTGGGCGTTGGATCTCTGTTCAGGTACTTGTACTCATGGCGTGTCTGTGCCTGGCAAGCACATTTTCCTATTATTATTAGTATCTAATAATAGCACTAAAAGGACCTACATGCACACACTTTTGATACCAAAAAACAGTTACATTCAGCTTACCAGTCACAAACATAACACCTCGTCCCAGCAAAAAACACACATGTATGTGTGAGGCGGCTAGGCCTTTTGCCAGTAAGGCAAAGCCTGACTTGATCTCATCTCACTTTTGTGCAGCAAAACTTTGCCAACTCAAAACAGTAGATTCAATCAACAGATGAAAAATATTGATGATAGTTAAGCAGAAAATAATTCAGCAATCCCTTTGCACAAGTGATGCGAAGTTCTGTTTGTGCCAGCACTGTACTGTAGGCATTGATTTTAGGAACATTTGAAAACAGCTAATTAGTACTTATTAACACACTTCCAGTGCCAGCCATTTAATGCACAGCAGGTCAATCAGACAGTTCTGCGGTCACGGTCTCTAGCTCAGTTCCCATTGCAGTAGATACAACATCAGCGTCTCCATCATCCTTGTTGGCATCCTTGGCGCCCTTTTTCGTGTGTCCATCACTGATGCCCAGGTCCTTCTCAGATGTCTCCTGTTACTGTTTGGTGGTATAGTATTTTATCAATCTAGATGAACAATAAATTTTCTAGTTTCTACAATTAGATTTGGGAAAGAATTTGAAAAATATTTGAGTATTCTGTCCTCTTTCAGGGCCTCCTCAGTAGGAACTTCTGCTTTGGGCGTGGCTGGCATGTTCGGTTTGGCTCTTTTGGAAGCCAATGGGGATTGCATTGAAGCCGTTGTAGCCAAACGCTTGCGGAGTGGTGGCAAGGACCATTCTTCACGACGCCTTAGGTGCGGACAAGCATAAACAAATAAATGCATGTTTCTGGTGTACTAATAACACCTATTAAGTAAATGCAAGTTGATTTTTGTTGTGATCCACAGTGTGTAAGCACCGGACTTTTCACATTCCTGCACAAGGACATCACCTGACACTTGCTTTGCTCGACGTGATCCAAGAAGTGACTCTGTAAACTTCGACTTGCTGCCAGATTCCTTAGACTTGCTGTCGCAAATCAGAACCCACTTGTCACCAACTTTGATGGGATGGAGGATGGGATCTGAATACTTCAGCTCCACCATGACGTTGTCAGATGGACGGACCAAAAACCACTCATCATCCTCTTTGTGCAAGAAGACCTTCTCCTCTGGCTTGATCTTGCACAAAACTGCCTTCTGTGGATCTTCTTTCTCATCTTCCTTTTTGTTGCCTCCTGTGTTGTCTTCGGACTCCTCATCTGTGCTTTCTTCCTTGCTGCTATGTTTTTGAAAACATAACTTTTGAAAATGGTTAAAATACTATTATTAAGCATTATTAAGCCTGTCATATCTATATCAAAAACTTTTTAATAAAGCAATCAAAATATATCAAAACCAAAGTCAAAAATCTACACATAAAAAACATTGTACAGATCCAAGGCACAGGCACACGCACTTCAGGTTCTTCAGGGGCAAACATGTCATTATCCTGAAGTGGCTGCAAATCATCCTCTGATGCATTCTCATCTCCTACATCCTTGTCTGCTGCTTCTTCTCGCATCTGCTCAAGGATCTTGTAGACATACTCTGGGTCTTGCTCCTTTCCGTTCCACACTGTGTCACCATCAGCAGTGACGAAGACTTCGAATTCATCATCTGAAGCAGCAATCAACCTTTGCAGTTTTACATGCGCCACAGAATTGAGAACATAGTTTCGAAAATGTTCAAAATCATACATTTTATTTTGTCATAGTTTCCCTTTGCACAAAAACTAAGGATGCAGCTCCACTTGCACCGGTGGCTTAAGGTCTGGATGGGTGATAACAAAGCGCTTTCCCTGCAGCTCACCCTCATAGCCAGTGGTAGGGAAAGAATCATACTCCAAGAGTGTCTTCGATAAGCTCTTTTCCAGCCTTTTACTGCCACGGCTCTCTCCCTGACATGTTGAAAGAGACAAGGATTTTTCAGAAACAATAATAAACAATTTGTGATGCCTAATAGTCCCTAATAGTACCTAATAGTGTACTACTCTTCCCATCCACACCTTGTTCTGCAATCGTTCCCACTCCAGCATCTCTTCTGGAAATGGTGATTTCTCACCACGCGGCCCCGGGGTAAAGTATTTGGCGAAGACCCCGCAATCCTCTCCTTTCTCCTTGTTGTGCAGGAAGTACTGCATGTAGCGGCTCACATCCTCCACTGACCATTTTGTTGCTTTCAAAGGTCTGCCACGCCGAAGATACTCCATGCGCACAGTCTCAGTCGCATTGTGGAACCAAAACAGAAAAATTCTCAGACTGAAGATCATATTGTTGTCCCACCAAATTCCCTTTACGGCGTGACATAAAGGAAAAAAAGCTAATTGCTTTCATAGTAGCTTTGAACATTTTCTCTGGGGCGCGCCTTGGTGAAATGATAATAGTGAAACTAATAAGACCTAATAGGCACTCTGCAACTGTCCACAGTAGATTTATAATGTTTATGGCTGAGATTTCTAGGCTTGAGGTCCAGACTCACAGGGAGGATCTCGTGGGTGAAAGCCAAGACTGAAAGACAACATTGCCAAGCAATCTGCTTTGGAAAATTTCTTGGTGACCTCCGTGTTGGAGTGGATGCTGTCCATCTTATCCAACCATTCCCGCATATGACATACCGGTACGTCTTCAAGGACTTTCTGCGTGTACTTCTTGCAAACGACCTTGCGACCACCCGGGTCTGAAGCTTGCTTCGTCCCTTGAGACTTAGCAGCAGCAGTCTTCTTCGATCCGGCTGCAGTTGCTTTTGCTGATGCGGATTTGGCCTTTGGAGCTCCAACTGGGCGGTTCATGCCAGGAAACCTTAGTTGATTGATTTTTTTGTCAGAAACAAACATGATCAAAAAAATACAACATATGTGCAAAATTTAAATATGCCAAAAAACACGATCTGGAATTTGGACTGACTCATGGCTGAATCTCGCGGAACCGTGTATCCTGTGGAAATCGTCAGGCTATCGGCTGCAGGAGACACCAAGTATCACAGATTTTGACAAAACTGCAATTAAGCAATTTGGAGTTGATGTGTTTTTGCTGCCATATAGAAACTTGCATCATGTCACAATCACACTGACAGAACTTCTGCATGTTTCCTTTTATGCAGCTCAGCAGGACAATTTGCATCGGCAAAACGGGCATCAGCACAACGGGCATCGACTGACAGACCCAAAACAAATTATAAATCCTATTATGTTTTTTTTATGAAAAAAATATTCAGCCCTCTTCGATGCCAAAATATGATTGCCTCAGGCTCGCTCAGCTATTCTCTTCTGTTCAGATTCACTCTGCACTGTTTCAAAGGAGCCCCCATTCCTTCCGAAGCCTTGGCTTGTTCTTGACAAAGTACATAATAGGTGTTATTAGGCCCTAGTGTCAATCATATATGCATTTAAAATATAAAAAATATCAAATCTAGTAAGCAAGGAAACTTATTGCACTTTTCGAGGCTTGCACGACGTGCTGGCGTGCTCGATTTGTTGAGCAACCGATGAGCATATGCTGGCTTTGTAGACGGATCTTTGCTCCGGGAGTCAATGACATAGACATCCTTTTCCTCAGACTTGCCCACATAGTGACGAATGCTAAGAATAGGATCATCGTACGGAAGCAGAGCTTGACGCAAATCAAATGGTCGCACCACATACCATTTGCCATCACCATCTGTATGGAGGAATACTCGATCTTTGATATTGACATCGCCATCAGGGACCACGGGAACCTGATGTGAAAAAGAAAAATAATCATTAGATTAGCCCTAATAGCAGCTAATAATTGGATTTGTGTCACTTCTTCATAGTGACATGAATATTACCTAAAACAAGGTAAGTCCCTGGCACGGACACGCTTTTCAGATTTGGGAGGACTTGTCGAAGCAGTTCGCTTCTTCTTCTGTGCCAAAATCTGTTTTTCGTTTTCTTCCTCCTTGTGGATGGCCAAAATCGAAAGGGCTTGGAATATCCCTTGTACATAGCGTGGCTTGGTTGCAGTTTCGAAGTGGGCTGTGCTGTTCCACAAAGTATCACCATCCCTGGTTGGATAGATTTGCCAGTCGTCATTCTCGTTTTCTTGAAGGAACCTGAAATCAGAAGGTTGATAAACAATGACAATTTGATCACAAGAACTCAATTGCATGTCTAATAAGCACTAATAAGGATCTGGCACAATTGCAACCTCATCAGGTATTTCAGGATGTTCTATATGGATTTCCCCGTCTCCCTGCACAAAGATATCGTAGCCGGATTTTGGAAACTCTGTGGAAGAGATGTCCTCAATAGATTCCACGAGGAAGTTCATCACAGGCCATGCGTTTGGGTTCTCGACCTTTTCAGGGTCCAAGGGTTAGCACGCATGTATAAAAACAAAACTGTTCTGAAAAGAATAAATAGTAAACATGTATTGCTTTTTTTTTGAAATGCAATCCGTGCCTCTTCTTTGACAATTGTGATTTCGTCTTCGGTCTCGGCCATTGTCATGTTCATGGACTTTGCTTTCTGCAGGATGAAAGCTGGCATTGGTGCTGGCTTGTCTTCATAACCACGAGAAAACCATGAGCCCCAGGCACCAAGATCTTCTCCTTCAGTCTTGTTCTCCATGTGCACAGCCATAAAACTGGACACGAATTTGATATTCCACCAAGGTTTTCTCAAGGGTCTGCCTCGACGAATATATTCGAAATGAGCAGCCTCAGAAGATGTTGATGAGTGCTTATTAGTACCTATTTGGATTTGCATGTAGATTTTATTTGCAAATAAAATCCTGATGGTATCATGCAGTTTCCTGCAGTGAAAAAAATCCCTCAACCAACCTGAGGTAGATATGCTCAGGAAGATGATCTTCAACTTTACAGACCAAAATTCGAAATCCGTTTGGAACTTCCCAGAATTAAACAGAATTAGGAAAGAATTAGACAGAATAAGACATAATTAGACAGAATTAAACAGAATTAGACAGAATTAGACAGAATTAGACAGAATTAGAAACAGAATTAAACAGAATTAGACAGAATTAGACAGAATTAGACAGAATTAGACAGAATTAGACAGAATTAGACAGAATTAAACAGAATTAGACAGAATTAGACAGAATTAGACAGAATTAGACAGAATAAGACAGAATTAGACAGAATTGGACAGAATTAGACATAATTAGACACAAGAATACAGAATTAGATAGAATTATACAGAATTAGACAGAATTAGATAGAATTGGACAGAACTGGTCAGAATTAGGCAGAATTAGTCAGAATTTAGCAGAATTAGGCATAATTAGACACAAATAAAAAATAATTTAACAGAATTAGACAGAATCAAACAGAATTAAACAGAATTGCACAGAATTAGACAGAATTAAGGGTTGATGAAATTTGCGTATATATATATGTATATAATATTTAAAAAAAAACTTGGCCAAGATGCTTTTTTCAGGTCTTCTTCAGATCCCCTAAGTTTGCAGTTGGAATGTGAAAAACATAAATTAAATTGCGCGCGCACTAAGCACAATGGCTGAAAATACATACGCTGTTGTTTTTCAATCGTTTCAACACATGTCACTGTAGGTTCAACCAAGTATCTGGGGAGTACGATCCATCGGGTGCCATCCCAGCATAAAGCACATCAGCAGGCACAATGTATTCATATCAAAGCTCTCCGTGATCTCGAGAGATGCTAGATCAGGCTCTGCATAGTCAAGGCAACCCTGAATCGTTTCGAACGATAGGTCTGCAAAGCAAGCATCAGGAGGAAGTACTTTTGCATTTTTCCTTTTCTTCGGCGGCATGGTCAGTCAGAACTACTGACTCAATCTGTGCTCAGGATAGCCAAAAGGCTACAGGAAATAAAACGTGCCATGTGTTAGCACCTAAAAGATGCTATTAAGCCTTCTACCTTGAAGAATCTTCATCGAGAGTCGACTGGGCCAACCTCAAAACTGCAAATCCATGTGTTAGCACCTAATAGATGCTATTAAGCCTTCTGCCTTGAAGTACTTTCACAAATTTCCGAATCTTCATCATAGAGTGGATTGGGTCACCCTCAAGACTTCAAATGCAAATCCAGTGGAATCATGTTTTTCTTGCTCAGCATCGTTCTGGTGAATTCTTCAGCAAGTCTGCTGGAAACATATCAGTGCCACAAGTTGAACGATAGCTGCAGTGGCAAAACACATCGAATTTCCGCTGATTGCAGATGCTCGAGAATGGTCTCGAATGGGCAGCTGTGGCACGTTCATGGAGGATGCCACTTCCGAAGTGACAGGGAAAGCCAATGAGCTGAGACGCTCCCGGTTCGTCATCCATCGATTCTGTGCATACCACCACATCAGGCCACCACCAGCTCTAAAGGTGGGAATTCTCCTGGCGTCGCTAAAAAAATAATGCAGTAATTAGCATCATACATTCAGATTTAACCTGTTTTCGAAAATAATACAAATAGTGCATAATAGACTGGACATGTTAAACAAAATTGGACAACGTGTCCTCGATGTTCCACTCCAGGTTTTCCGCACACAAAAAGTATCGCCGAGGTAGATGACAAGGTCTGGGTCTTGTTCAGGACTCTGCTGGTAAATCTTCCGGTATTCCTCTTCTGCGTCATCCAAACATTGGAGTTCACGACCTGTGAGAAGAGTTCTGTAGTTGTCCTTAGCTTGATATGCAGATCACATATCTTAATAATCACTATTAGTGCTGTTTTTACTACAATGGATGTAGATAATTAATTGCAGTCCAGCCACCGTAATGGTTTTGTTCCGCACTGTTGCCAGATGCATCGCTTCATTCTTGATCTCCACAGGTGGTGCAATGCTGTAATCTGCAGGTTTGGTGCAAACATAGGTACGGATGCTCTTGCACACCATTCTGTAGAGCTCAGCAGGGTCGAACAATTGTTTGGTACGTTCCTTGTGAGACAGAATTATCCAAAGTCGGTCCCTTGACGCTCCGTCATGACCTTGATCTTCTACTCCGCATACCAAAATGTGGATATCATAGTGCAAGCAGAATAGCCATTTGATCATCTCAATGCGGAGCCCCTGAACAATTTTGGACACATGCTCAGAACATTTTCGAAAATCTACTGAAATTACACAATAAACAATTTTGGAGCACCATGCCTTCACATTCTCAATTACCAATAATGGTGTTCGCTGAGAGCAGTGATAGGCAGCGTATGCAATGAAGACCCGTTTTGTTTCACCTTCTTCTTGCAAGCGTTTACCTGCGAAACTGTAGTCCCAACATGGTAGACCTGCACAATTGTAGTCAGGACCAGCCCCAACCAACGCACATTGCCTTTTATGAGTAAGGCACCACTGATGAGACTTCAATTTGCAGTTGTTCACTTTTTTGAACATGTTCATAAAGTCATCGGAGGAATCCATAACACGATCTGGCACAATGCCCTCAATCTCCTCAAACATACATGGTGGCGGCGGTGTTCGAGAGGTCACCAAATTGCACCAATTCACATTGTCGCGAATAATTTGCTGACAAGTTCTGTCAATTTCCTGAGATGCAAAAATAATAATACTAACATTGTTTTGGTGTGAATATTATGTGAATATATTGTTTTTCCCAATTATGCACTATTAGGGCTTATTAGATATTTTTGGGATACACTTGAACACTTACAGAAATCACAACATTATGGTGAGATAAGGTTCATGCACATAGACCAAATTGAACTCAACTTTCTTTTGAAACTGCTCGGATGCGTTGACTGTTTTTTCCACGACAGCAAGGGCCATGTCTGATGTCAAAGCTCCAGTGCATGAGCTACTCACCCTCCTGGTGGTGAAGAGCATCGAGGCCTTCAGGGCAGGAGATCGTAGAAATTGAAAAATTGGTGCTTCGAATTTTCAATGCGTAATGTACACAACATTGAACAATTTGATTCCGTTTTGAAACAACATGGTGGTTTTTGAGGGAAGGGCACAGCTTGTGCCCAAACGAAAATGCCTGGATCTTCATGTGATCGAGGGAACTGCACAGCTTGTGCCAAGCCAACTGCACAACACGTCCACTTTTTGCCAACATTGACTTGTCTTGCAACACATCCTGGAGTTTGTGTCAAGCTATGAGATAATATTCACATTTGGTGAAAGCAAATCCAGTATTATTAATCACTAATAAGGACTATTTGCACATATTAAAGGACATAGAAAACTTGCACCACAGCAGCAGTCCTCGAAGGGTTCCCCGCTGCATCTGCTTGAGTCCGAAGTCCAGCTATTCCAGCGAGCTTCTCCAGTTGCAGTTTCAGATTCCATGGTGACATCGGACCCACTATCCATGTTTACAACACAGAGGTGGATCTAAATGTTTTCTACTGACAGGAAATGTTTGCTTCAAGTCTATAGAACAGTTGTATTTTCCAGTGTTTGAATATAGTTTGAGTAGAATCATTGAATCCTGAGAAATCGTATGACGATGCTTAATTTCTTTTCTTTCCACCGTTTTACACGTGACGATGTTCTTCCTTATTTTCATTCCATCTATGAGCCAGCAGGGAATGATGGATGGAGTTTGTCAAGCCAACTTCATAAATCCAAAATCACCGACATGGGTGGAAAAGTGCTGAGAATCCAGCCACTGGTGGTCCGTAGAATCCCAATTGCAGCTCTGGCATCCATATGTAAGAGACTTCTGTCGGTCTCTTTGCAACGCTCGATCCATCCGCGTAGATCTGCCAGAGCAAGCTGTGGCAAGCTCATTTTTTCCCAAATGTGTTCAGATGTTTATTGTATTTATTGAAGTGCAATGTTGCTTAATAGTGCTTATTAGGATCCTATATAAGTATACAAATAAGGTTCAAGTTCAATCCGAGGTACGTGCCACACAGAGCACCCCTTTGCTTCGGCCATTGCTCGTGCAATATAAACGGCCTCGTATGAAGACACATGCTGTTGAAATGCTGTTGGAAATGGAAAAAAACAAAATTGTTTTTTTTCCAATTGTTCTTGTCACATTCCTGTAACCTAAGGTGCGCACACAAAAGTGGAAGGCGAACAAGGTGACATTCAGGCACTGCAATTGGAACCGATCCAGTGCTTTGCGTAGTGTCATACCATTGTCATCCTCAGGAATCATACGGGCTGATGGTTTGAGGGCCCCACATTCTTACTAACTAGTTCTTTAGCGGGGTGATCATCCAAGTGATTGATGATGGGCCAGTGCGTCATTGTTGATGAGCGGGATTTTAACCATCAAAATATAAGGATAGGTGGAGATAATGAACACATTATGGTTGGTTGATGATTATACGGGAATAGACTGTTCAATATAACTGGGAATACCTTTTGTAATCATAAACAGTAATATACATCAAACCTAATAATGTCTAATAATGTTCAGATGGTGTTAAACATACATTTTAGAAAAAGTCATTTGCATAACCATACAGGTACTAGGATGGCCTATGAACATCAACGCTAATAGTGTCTAATAGTGACAATAAAATATACAAAAAAAACAAAATGTTGGAAGAGAAACATTCTCTCTCAGAAGAAATTGTGCACAGATTGCCTTCCTTTTCGCTATTGTTGCAGAATAAGCACCACGATTCCTGTAGGTACTAGACTCCGCAATCTGATCCTTCTTCAAATCCCGGCCCATTTGGTCAACACAAGTTGAGAACGTCCTGATGACAGAATGAATAACAGCAATCACATGTCTGTAGGATCGACCATGACCAGGAAGCATCATAAATACCACGACATCCAGCACAGATGCATGATTCATATCACCTGAGGACATCCATTCTGGAGAGCTGCGACTTTGGTACAGGGATGTCCAGTCTGATCTGATTTGTTCCAGATAAACTTCAGAAAACAGGCAGCGCAAGAAAGGTGCTTGAGCATGTGGGCTAATCATAAAGCCAAAATAGCGATCATCATCTCGCTGAACACGGCATTTTCCTTCTTTGATGACAGCAAATGTGATAGACCACAGCGCCCTGAAATTTGAAATTGTTCGGTTCACATCTTCAACAGGTCTCCGAGGTCGCTGTATACCCCAAATCATCATTGAGATTAGCAAAGAAGTAGGGATCATGGTTTTCGTTGTGTATTTGCTCAGACAATGTTGCTCTTGGTGGTTTTGACCAGCAGGAGCACCATGTCTTGAACGCAAAATAGGTGGCATGCTTTCCGTACTCCAGAGAATTTTGTACGTTTCAGAAAACTGATCCTGAAGTTCCCAGAAGCGATCCATGCGTTTTTCTGTTGAATCTGTCCTGAAGAGCAATCTTGAGCTTGAAGCGACAGCCCAGTGAACCTGAATACCCTGAGGTGCACCAGCATCTGGGAAGATGCACTCCACTTCATGTTTGTTGATGAATAACTTACCTTGGTCGTATGAATTCAAATACCAAGAGATTAATCAAGTGTTTGTGAAGAATTCTGCACAAATCTATTTTTTCATTTGTGGTTTCATTGTTAGCTGGCATATCATTTATTCAAGACAAGGCTCTGGAGAACAGATCGAAATTTTCCGTATCAGGAATCCTCAGGTGCAATTTCTAACGTAACCTTGTTTGCCCCAAGCTCAGTTGGAAACATGCATATGTTTTTGCATGTCATAAATGCGATAAAGCAGCATTCCAGCAAGTCAGTGAGACAGCGATAAAATCAGTGCCATTGCTGGCAACAGATGGCTTGCAGCCAATGAATCTTTGTGAATTGGATCATTAGTTTACCCCTATTAACTGCTAATAAGGCATACTTACATGTACCATGATAGAATCAAAATGCTGAGATATTAATTTTAATAGGTAACGTCACATCAATTATCGAAAATGATTTTTATTGATGGTGCTAGCTGTTTACTCTCATGGAAAAGACATTGTTTGAGCCAAGGCTAGTGTAACAACTCATTAATAGTGCTTAATAGCATTAATTAGAACTATTCTATGGCTCCTCCATCAGGGAACATGTTCTGACACACCCATACGCATCCACATCCAACTTGTTGTGGGAGAGAAGCATTGTGCCCAGTCTCAATCCCTTATGGAGTAGTTGACCTCCACATATCAAAAAAAAACTGTACATGTACTGCAGAAAATCCAAACAACAGAATCGAATTGTTCGTTGTGGGAAAGTCATAGCAACCCTCAGGAATGCTATTGGGGACTAATAACAGCTAATAGTGTTACTATAATATATTTGATATCCACCTGATGAATATCAGCCAGTGCTCCTTGCAAGAAATTTTGGGATGCACATATAAATGCTGCCAACAAATGATGAAACACCAAGCACAAGACACTAGTGATGACAAGTTGGCAAAGCTGTTTGCCAAATAATCGTATATGCGATTTTCCAAATAATGTTTCTCTTATTTTTTCATCTTCCTCATGAAGGAAGCACGGTTAGCCAGATAACAGTGTATGTGATTTTCCGAATAATGCTTCTCTTATTTTTTCACCTTCCTCATGAAGGAAGCATGGTTAGCCAAATAAGGCTATATGCGGTTTTCCGAATAATGTTTCTCTTATTTTTTCACCTTCCTCATAGAGGAAGCACGGTTAGCCAAATAAGGCTATATGCGGTTTGCCAAATAATGCTTCTCTTATTTTTTCACCTTCCTCATGAAGGAAGCATGGTTAGCCAAATAAGGCTATATGCGGTTTTCCAAATAATGCTTCTCTTATTTTTTCACCTTCCTCATAGAGGAGGCACGGTTGGCCAAATAAGGCAAGATTATGTTTTCAAATAAGAAAACATCATTTTCAAATAAGGCTTTGAATAAGGACAAAACATAGCCCCAAATAGTTCAAATAGTCTTCAAGTTGGCCGTTCAATAACCTCAATCTGGCAGGAAAAAAAAATAGGAAATGAATAAGGGAAAAAATAAGGAGCCCACACCTGGGGGTGGCTCGACCTGGGGGTGGTTTGATAACCCATGATATATATATATATATAATCATAGTGAATATAGTTAACAAATGGATGTAGTAGATATGGGACATCCTTTGTAGAACTATATTTCGGATTGCTTAATGGATATAATCCCATCCCCCTAATATTAAACACCCCACAAAACGGTACCAAATATATGTAAATCCCTCATTAAACCATGGTTTGTAGGGGGGTCTAATATTAGGGGGAATGACAGCATGTATAATAACCAGCAATTCGATGTTTGTGTTTATCTAAAAATGGGGGATCCCCCAAAAAGGACCATTTCTGTTGGAAAACTGATCAACCAATAGACTTCCGGTTAGCCAATGTTTTTCGTCCCTATTTGGGATATTTGGGATGATGTTTCTTTACCAGAAAGGGAATGGCGGACTTTACCATGGTGATCCAAACCACTGGTGGATCCATTGGTGTACAAAGAGCAGCACAATTCCTGA